GTTTCGACAAGGTTTTGTCATCATCAGGTAAAACCTTGGCAAAACGTTGTACATTTGTTGTTATGTTAAACTTATATTAAAGTTTTTCTTCATTACCCATTCAAGCCATCTCCAGCCATTATAACTGAAGAATTTATTCGTTTCTTCAAGATAATTAATTTTCAATTTTATTTTTCAATGATCTCATAAGACTGAAAGTTTGACGTTTCCAAAGATGCTACAATCTACAGTTTAGAGCATGTATTGTTTTTAAACCATAAATTCATCTAAACAGTTTTTTGGTTTAAAATACTTGCATCACTTTATTCATTCCCATTGTGATTAAAACGAAAAATATTCTACTTGTACATATATAGTACTAAAATACTTGTACATATTTACTACGTGATCATATGTTTTGTCAAAAGCTAATAATGTTAGTTTCATCACTTGATAGCAAAAAAACATTAAAGACTGATAAGCCACATACTTGAGAACATGGAGTTTTAGTTTGAATAACATTTGAAACTCACAACTTAAGTTGTTAATTATTATCAGAGTTTGATGGTGCTGTAACTATTAGTAGATTCTGTGATAATTTATTATTTAGGTTTTTTTCTTTCTGGTTATTTCGCCTAACTTCTTGTTTCAAGGTCATACTGTTTAGTTGGAAGCTATAAAAGTCCCAAAACTTTTAAAAGTGTGATTATATTGTGAAAGTTCTAATACAAACTTTTATTGTTTTTTAAGAATGCTGGTATTAACATCCTGAGTGTAGAATAAAAGACTTGTTATAACATTCCTTAAATTATTGATGGTCAACTTGGCAGCCCATTTTCTTTGTTTTAAATCATATTTTATTTTGGCCAAACTGACGAAATAAAAACAGAAAACAAAATAGTGAATAAACAAACCAGTCCCTGATGGTTCTGAAAACTTTCTTCAAATGTTAACACAGCTATTTATTCAAAACTGTATAATTAACTGAGGGTCTAAAGTAGCCAGTAGGAATTAAAATTTTCATTATTCTGAATGTACTTTACCCAGTCATATATTTTTAGCTGACAGGTAAGAAACTGACACACGAGCGTAAAGAAGTTTGCCATCCCTGGCTGCTGACAGACTACAGCATAGGTAGGAAACTGAAACACGAGCATCAAGAAGTTTGCCATCCCTGGCTGCTAACAGACTATAGCATAGGTAGGAAACTGACACACGAGCGTAAAGAAGTTTGCAATCCCTGGCTGCTGACAGACTACAGCATAGGTAGGAAACTGAAACACGAGCATCAAGAAGTTTGCCAACCCTGGCTGCTAACAGACTATAGCATAGGTAGGAAATTGACACACGAGCGTAAAGAAGTTTGCCATCCCTGGCTGGTGACAGACTACAGCCTAGGTAGGAAACTGACATATGAGTGTAAAGAAGTTTGCCATCCCTGGCTGCTAACAGACTATAGCATAGGTAGGAAATTGACACACGAGCGTAAAGAAGTTTGCCATCCCTGGCTGCTGACAGACTACGGCATAGGTAGGAAACTGAAACACGAGCATCAAGAAGTTTGCCATCCCTGGCTGCTAACAGACTACAGCATAGGTAGGAAACTAACACATGAGCATAAAGAAGTTTGCCATCCCTGGCTGCTGACAGACTGCAGCATAGGTAGGAAGCTGAAACACGAGCATCAAGAAGTTTGCCATCCCTGGCTGGTGACAGACTGCAGCATAGGTAAAAAACTGACACACGAGCGTAAAGAAGTTTGCCATCCCTGGCTGCTGACAGACTACAGCTTAGGTAGGAAACTGACATATGAGTGTAAAGAAGTTTGCCATCCCTGGCTTAAAGCCTCAACTTGATAACATACAACATAAATGTTTAAAATGATTTTATGAAGAACAAACATCTTTGGTTGTAAATTTAAGAGCTCCAGGTTAGCAGAATATTAGTAGCATGAAAACAATTATTTAACAATCAGAGGTTTAATACTGCATAAGAATTATCAATTTTACATATTTATTTCAGCAATATTTTTGCTGTTAATTACTTATTAAAATGGTGTATTTCGTACACTGTAGTGTAAATATAGTTCAGTCAGTTAATAAAGTGCCCAATTTTAAGGTTGCAATTCAATATTTCAATTATGTAGTATGATTGTTTGTTCTCTTTCCACATATAAATATTAAAATTGACCAAAGTTTAAAAATTTCTAAGCTAACAAACATTACACTATCTAACTAAGAACACAGGTCAGTGTTATCCAATATTACATTATATGCTAAATAGCTCTTTTTTTAACTTAAGACACAGCCTTGGAATATTTCTTGAACTTGAAATTATATTTCATTTGCCAGGAAATATTAAATGTAATAGTTTCTTCTTGTGAATGAGCTATAATCCCAGTATTAAGAACCTATTTAAGAATAGTGACAAATTATATTGAAGAAAAAGAATGTTAATTTCTTTTTCAAACTAATGTTTGTCATTTAGGTTTCTGAATGTAAATGTTGCCTGTCAACTTGATAGTTATTTACTAACAAAAGTTTACGAACTAAGTTTCTGTATTAAACATGAAACATTCATCCTTGATGCCAACTACAGAACCATTCCAAAACCAGTTTACTTGAAGCCTATTCCTTTGTGAAAAACCTTACTGTCAACCATTCCTGTTTTTTTATTTCTTCTACAGTAATAGTACATGAAGAAATTGATTCGTGTTATTGGTAAAAGACAACACTAATGTTAAGTAAAGAATCTTCAAAAGTACCCATATTTCTATAATCATCTCTCTAATGAAAACAAATGTGAAATCTCTTTGCTCCAGAGGCTCCAACATGCATGTATTGATCAGCCTATATAACTGTGTAATGTTTTATGGTCTAGGTAATATCATGCACAAGATTCTGCATACTTCAAAATCACTTGCCACACTGTAATACATCACAAAAGAAATACTTTGGAAGTAATAAGGGGAGTATAATTAGTTGATTAGCTTATGTAAAAGTTTGACTGATGTGTCAGCTGAAAATATAAAGACATGTATCATATCAGAACCAGTATTAAATAGCTTAGTGTGATTTTCAACATTACAAATTGTTAGATATGTTGATAAGAACATTATTAGCATTTCATAAGATTTATGCAGTACTAACAAAAACTGTTGACCATCGGTCAATAATATTTCGATGTTAATTCAGGTGGTCAAGTTAGTCTTCAAATTTCAAGTTTTTTAACCTGCAATGTATTAAACAGTTTTTACACACTTCCCAATAAATTAGCATAATATGTGAATAATATTAAAAGCACAATTACAAATTTAAAACAAATGAGAACAACTTCAAATGCATCACTTTGTGTAAACTTATCAATGTCCATCACACCACATCCAAAACCTCTTACCTTCTGAACGTAAGGAACGAAGAACTTCAGTACAAGTATGAATGAAAGTCTGAGCATCACTATCTATCTGGTCTCTTTCACTATCAGTCATTTTCGAAGCATCATACAACAAGTGGCTGAAATACGATGATTTTTACTCAAAACATATCACTCTCCGAGTAATAAAATGCAGGGTTTTCAACATGTTTAAAATGTGAGTACAGTACATTTGTTTCAAACTTAAAACCAAGTTGAAATTATCTGAAACTAACATTCAATATTATTTTTATTTCCTCCTTAACAGTCTTATTGGATAGCAATGAACACAATAACCCATGTTGATTGTGCCATCCCTACCTTGAGAGTGCTAGCACACTTTCCGATAGGGCACATTATTCATACTGTATGACATATGATACTTGGGATGACCTCACTCTGACAACTATAATTTCATGTTGAAAGGCCATGGAATTATGTATAGTTATATTTATATGGTGGAAAATGTTTATCTAGACAAAATTCCATTCATTTTATGCAAACAAACTTTAGTTAGCAATGGCATACAAATTTATTGTATTTGTATAGTCTGGAATTCATAGACAAAAATGCTAGTGAGACCATGAACCACATTAATGCCGACTCTTATAAAGATGTTTCACGCATAATCCAATTATTGGGTTGCATCATATTATTTAAAAGAAAATTAAACCAATTAGACTAACTTTTGAAAACTCAGAAAGAACAATTATTTCTATAGCAAAGCCTACAAATATGAAATAAGTACATCTGTGTTCAGAAATATGCAAGTTTATCAGCACTACATGTATAATAAAAAAAAGAAAGCAAATGTGAAAATGCATCACTGAGAGTCTGTCATTTTTAAGTGTAGTTAGGCTTAGCATTTCAGTGACTGGGTTAGCCAACATGTTTGCAGGACATGCAAATGAACTACACAAAGAGACACTGTCAGTCACATAATTCTATTATAAAGAAACTTTTAACACTTATAGTTTCTGGTTTATTAATATTAATTTTCTTTGTGTTTTAGTTAAATCTGTATTTACAAAGTTATGAAACTGACATTACTATTGTATGGAGATTTGCTTAAAGTTTAAATATACTTTTGAAGTGAAATTTTGCTAAAGAAACTGACAATAAACTACATTAATCCTATAAGTATGGGTGGGGGTCAAAGTGTGCATGTCCTGACCTTATAGAGCATTCCATACAACACAGTATTATGAATCTGATGTCAGAGTTATTAAAGTTCCATGGTACCCTACATTTCTGATTTGACAATAGTTCATATTAAAATATAGAAAATACAACATACTATATGAAGAAATACTTTTAAAAAATTCAGGAAGTTCTACAGGTTAGGCAAAGGCAATTTTCAAACTATATGACAGACAAAAGTAATTTTATTCTTCATATGAACATCACTTTGTATTCCGACTTGTCAGAGTCCAAGTCAGACCTGCTTTGACATTTCACAAGCATATATTTAGTAAATACCTTTCTTAATACAACTGATATATTGTTTACAACATATTTGTACTGTTAACTAAAAGCTTGTCACATTTTATGAATATACACCTTGTAAATTTTAAATCATAGTCAGCATTACTTCTCCAATATGGAGTACTTCCAATAAATTAAATATCAAACACATTTACTGATTTATGGTTTATGAGATAGTAACTGATCTTGATGCTTTAAGTCTTTCACAAACATGAATACCTGATCCTAAGTCAGAAAACAAACATTGAATTCACTGTAACATGAATACCTGATCCTAAGTCAGAAAACAAACACTGAATTCACTGTAACACTAATACCTGATCCTAAGTCAGAAAACAAACACTGAATTCACTGTAACACTA